ATCAATTATATATATTTAAAGTGTTTATGTCCAAAATTGATTGGACCTAGATCATAACACTTACATTACCAATAACTGATTTCCACTCGTGATCAAGTGATGTGAGCAGTAAGCCTCCTGCCTCTCTTCATTTTATTTTTTATTGTTTTGTTCTTCTTATTTTAGTTCATTTTTTGATTTATTACATATGAAATTATGAGTTATCAATTAAATTAATCAATTATGATTTATGAATTCATGTTTTTATGTTTAATGAATATGAGCAATCTGTTAGTATTTATGAAAGTTTGGGGATTTTTGTGAATTTGAGAATATTTGATATCACATGTGTGGACTATAGAATTTGTGAATATTGGGGATTTTATATGATTTTATGTTTTAGGTGCATTTATATATTAATAGAAGAATTTTTAATATTATTTAATTAAATATTAATAAACGACCTCTATATTATAACGGTCGATGGCCACCCTAGCTGGTTTCAATACCAGGATCCACCACTGTCTACGGCCTTCTTTCCCAAATCCTTTTTAATACCACGAGATGGTTTGTATCTAAAATTCAACAGTTCACAAATAAGGAAATCACTTCAAGAAACATAAGATATTAAACAAAATTTAAGTGGGAAATTCAGGTGAAGGAAGACGGCATGTTTTGATAATTGCGTCATTTACCAGGTCTAGCCAAAACCCTACTTCCATTTGGAGTACGACTTCTCGAAGAGCAAACTACTGGGTTAGGGGGGAGGGAATCAGTAATTGTATCAAAGTCGTAATCACTATGCTCTTTAGGAATAGGATTCCCTGGATGATAATTGTTTACTTCAAAATTAAAGCTGGCGTTGGGTGGATAGTGAATCTTGGTAAATGTCAAGTCAAATATATAAACACTGAAGAATGTGTTCCCTCTGTATTCAAAGAGTACAAACTAGCCAAATTGGATGGAGTGGTCTACAAAAAAAATTTCCCAGCCACAATGAAACTAAAGTGTCTCTTCCACAGTTCCACCTTCTCCAAAGCCACAAACCAAATGCCCCCAATACGACCATTGAGTCTGACAGCATCAGAGAGTTCATGCTCGTATTCTTCAACAAATTTGTTCTAGAGCCTCTGCAAAAATGCATAATATATTTGACAACTCTATTTAAGTTTTGAGTGAAGAAAAGCTGCTAGAATTATTATTCAAAAATCAAGAGAAGAAATCATGGATGAATGAATTGGAAAGAGGAAGAAAAACCACCTTTGGCGCCACATTATTGGCCTAGGCGACCGCATAGGCAATTGTGGCTTGCGGTCGCATGGCTCCATCAGGGAAAAAATGGGCAACCCATGCTATAACTATGCGATCGCATAGTGTAAAAATCGAATTTTCTAGTGGTTTTCTTGTGAAGCAATGCACCTTTTCCATAATGATTGATGACTATATAAACATGTTAGTTATCATTCCAAAAAATAATTGAAAATCATTCCATTGTTAATCCAAATTATTGAAGAAATCTCATTCTCTTACATAATCAAATTCCAATACTTTCACTTGTTCAACTTTAAGAATCATTTAGCTTTTGGTGTTTTTTCACTTAGAGGCTTGATAATCTTACAAACCATTTGCCATTTTCAATCCTTAAAAGCATAGTGGTGGATACAAATATCGTTTGAGGACAACGTTTTCATTTCGTGGTCAAGTCTTGTTTCGATATTATTTTTCGTCTTCATCTTCTTATTCTTTTGGTTTCCATTGTTGTACTCTGCACTTTTGACCAACATTCTCAAACAATATTTCCTTATTTTACTGCAATGGAAACAGAGTCTATGCTTGTAACAATCAAGATGATGAATCAAGACTTGGTACGTTTGGACAGATTTGATAGTGCAAACTTCATAGGTGGCAAGACAAACTAAAATTCCTCCTTACGGTGTTGAAGATTTTCTATGTTCTTGACACAAAATTGGTACCTATTTTCGATGCAACCGAAGAAGATACTGATGAAGTTCGTGTAGAAAGAAAGAAGCGGGAAGATGATG